CTCCTCCTTCTCCTCCTTCTCTTCCTCCTCCTCCTCCGTGTCTGCTGTGGGGCTTCGTGCGGGCCTCCTGGAGGGCTGGGGGGCGACCCCGTGGGAGCCTTCACGGGGCTCCTGGGGGCTTTTTGAGGCTCTCTCTCTGGGAGGCGGCGGCCTCGTGGGAGCCTTTTCGGGGCTCCTGGGGGCTTCTTGGGGCCCTCGATGGGGTCTTCTTGGGGGCTTCTTTCGGGTGTAGCCATGGCCCCCGATAAGGGGAACCAGTTAGTGATAGGGCCCCGAAGCCAAAAAACATGCATGAATCACTGAACAAGGTCTGCCGAAGCTTGTGCTTTTCGTGTGACGACAGTTCTGGTTAGTGGAATGGGGTTGGGGAGGCGTCCCCAAGCACACATCATTAAACCAGGTCTCACTAAACCCAGTCCTGCCAATGTGCGACTTTTGGGGGCGACTCTATAGATTGGGGAGGCCTTACGGCTGGGGCCGCCGATCTTGGAGGGGCGATGACCACGACGGCGGCGTTGGCGGCGACGACGCTGACGTGGGGCAGAGTCCTCAGTGATGCTTCGTGGGGCCTCTTCGGAGCGCGCGCGCTCGTAGGCCTCGGGGGGGGGGGCAGTTTTGGGGCCTCTTGGGAGCATCTTGGGGGTCTCGTGGGAGCCTCTTGGGGGTCCCTTCGGGCTTCCCGGGGGCCTCTTGGGAGCCTTTTTGGGCCTCCTGGGAGCTTCTCGGGGCCGAGGGCTCGAAATGTTCGTTCGGACTCCCGTGTGGGCCCCACCTTGGAGCCGTTTTGGGGGCCTCTTGGGCCGTCTGGGAGGGCTCTGGGGCCATCTTGGGACCCTCTTGGGTCGTTTTGGGACTGTCTTGGAAACCTCTTGGGGGCCTCTTGTGCCGACCTTAGTGGCATCTTGGGCCGTCTCAGAGCGTCGGGAAGCTGAAAAGGCGAGAACGCCAGAACCTTTCAAACACCCGGAAGACAACCATTCTCTTGCACAGGGTGTCTAGAGCTCCGACGACTTTTATTTCGGCACGGCACCGGTCGATACAGCCCCTAGGCCCCCACCTCCCAGCGCGCCCTCTCCGCATCCACTTTCTAGAGCAGCCATGCCGAAGCAGCCCCTCGGCCCTCCGCATCCCTCCCCCGCCAGCCAGCGCAGCCAGCCCGCCAGGCAGCGCGCCCCCTCGGCACCCGTCCCACCAGTCAGCGCGCCCCCTCCGCCCCGACGGCTTTATTTCGGCACGGCACCGGTCCCACCAGCCGGGGCGCCCGCTCCGCCCCGACCGCTTGATGTCGGCACGGCGCTGGTCCTACCAGCCAGCGCGCCCCCTCCGCCCCGACCGTTTTATTTCGGCGCGGCACCGGTTTCACCAGCCAGCGCGCCAACTCCGCCCCGACTTCTTTATTTCGGCGCGGCACTGGTCCCACCAGCCAGCGCCCCTCCCCCACCAGCCAGCTCAGCCAGCCCACGCGCCCGCGCGCCCCCTCCACCCCGACTTCTTTGTTTCGGCACGGCACCGCCCCCCCCGCACCCCCCGCGCAGCCAGCCCCTCCGCCTCGACCCCAGCGCGCCCCCTCCGCCCCGACCGCTTTGTTTCGGCATTGCGCCAGTCCCACCAGCCAGCGCGCTCCCCCCGCCCCGACCGTTTTTATTTCAGCACGGCAACGCCCCCTCTCCTCCACCGGCCAGCGCGCTCCCTCCTGCCCCGGCTTCTTTATTTCGGCACGGCACCGCCCACCCCCCCACGCCCCCCGCGCCGCCAGCCCTTCCGCCTCGACCCCAGCGCGCCCTCTCCGCCCCGACTGCTTTGTTTCGGCGCAGCACCGGTCCTGCCAGCCAGCGCGCCCCCTCCGCCCCGACCGCCTTATTTCGGCACGGCACCAGTCCCGCCAGCCAGCGCGCCCCCTCCGCCCCGATCGCTTCATTTCGGCACGGCGCTGCCTCCCTCCCCCGCCAGCCAGCGCGCCCCCTCCGCCTCGATCGCCTTATTTCGGCACGGCGCCAGTCCTGTCAGCCAGCGCGCCCCCTCCGCCCCGATCGCTTCATTTCGGCACGGCGCTGCCTCCCTCCCCCGCCAGCCAGCGCGCCCCCTTCGCCCCGATTTCTGTATCCACCAGCCAGCGCGCCCGCTCCGCCCCGGCCGCTTGATTTCGGCGCGGCGCCAGTCCGACCAGCCAGCGCAATTCCTCTGCCCTGACCGCTTTATTTCGGCACGGCACCGCCCCTCCTCTCCGACCGGCCAGCGCGCCCCCTCCGCCCCGACTTCTTGATCCAATAGCGAGCGCGCCCGCTGCGCCCCGACCGTTTAATTTGGGCACGGCGCCGGTCCGACCAGCCACCGCGCCGCCTCCACCCCGACCGCTTTATTTCGGCGCGGCGCCGCCCCCCCTCCCCGCCAGCTCGCGCGCCCCCTCCGCCCTGATTTTTAAATATCGGCACGGCGCTGCCCCCCCCCCCCCCCCGCGCGCTCAGCCCCTCCGCCTCGTCCCCGGCGCGGGCCCTCCGCCCCGGCCGCCTTATTTCGGCGCGGCGCCGGCCCCGCCAGCGAGCCCGCCCCCTCCGCCCCGACCGCTTCATGTCGGCGCGGCGCCCGTCCCACCAGCCAGCGTGGCCCCTCCGCCCCGGCCGCTTCATCTCGACGCGGCGCCGTTCCCCCCCCCCGCCAGCCAGTGCGTCTCCTCCGCCCAGACTTTTTATTTTTGGCTCGGCACCGCCGCCCCCGCACCTCCCGCTCAACGGGCCCCTCTGCCCCGACTTCTTAATTTCGGCGCGGCGCCAGTCCCCCCGCCCTGCCCCCCTGCTATGGCCGGTTCCCGCTGAGGGCGCCCCCTCCTCGGGCGCCGGTCGCCCGCGCGGCCGCCGTCGCGTGGGCGCGAGGACCCAGTGGCAGCGTCGAGCTGAGGGGCATCGAGCTGCAGGATATCGAGCAGCAACGCACGAGGCGCAACATCGAGATCTACGTGATCACGACATCGAGCAGCAGCGTGCGGGGCGCAACATCAGTATCTACGTGATCACATCAGAGAGCAGCAGCGCAAGAGGCGCGACGTCAACATCAGTATCCACGTGTCAGAACAGGAAAGCACATAAACACATAGGGCTTTTATTGGTTTTACGCCGGTAGGGGGCGTCGTTGAGAGGGTGCCTGGCACGGGTGCGGGGATCGGTGTGGAGTCGGTCTTTGGAGCTGGCGGTTTGCGTGGCAAGTGCGTTTAGCTGGTCGCATGTGTTCGGAACGCGTGACGGGTGGAAAGGCCACTCACCAGCAATTGGCAGTCCTCTGCCCGCGGGCCAGAACAAGTCGCCGCGCGCTCGCAACGGGGCGTGGGAAAGGGGGTCGGGGAGAGAACGCGAGTCTCATCCGCAAGAAGTCCTTTCGATAGGCAGCAAACAATTCTTTTTCTATTCATCTGCCGCGCGGACAACCGAACGAACGAACAACTGTCTCGGCGCGCAGTGTTAGCTTCGCTTGCGCGCATCCTGGCTTCCTTCCGTTGCTTCCTTCGCTTCTTTCTCGCCTCCTTCTCTTTTTCCTCTGCCCCTGCTTTGCCTTGTCCCGCCCCCCCCTCCTTTCCAGCTCGGAGCTGTCACCTCGCGCGAAGGGCGCAACCCAAGGGCGTTGCTGTAATTCCTTGGTGTGCGACGAAGTCTCGTGTAATTCCTCTGCGTGCGGTCTGGTTGCGCAGCCGGCGCGGGGGCCACGCAAAGGAATTTCCATTGCGTGCGATCGTTTTCGCCGCCCCCACAAGAGCACGCGCGATTCCTTTGTAGAGCTCGCGTTCCCGCCTCGAGGGGCGCGCGGGGCCTGGCGCTGCAATTGCAAGGCCGCGGCGCCTCGCAGTGCGACGCAGCTGCGCCGGAAACCGCGCCCAAAACGGTCCTGCGTAGATTGGCTCTTCTGCCGAAATCGCGCTGGCAGCTGGCCGGCCGCGTCGCCGGCCCTGCGTGCCCGCGCGCGCTACTGCGTTCTGCTGCCGCGACGCGTGCAGCTGTCAACGGATGAACAAACTGACGTGCGGTGGTTTGGCCGTGCCGAACCACCAGGGAATGTTCGTTGATAACGGATCTTGGGATCTTGTCGCCGCCGACAGCCTAGCCGCACCATGCGTGTCAACTGCATCCTAGAGCGCGGCCGTGCATCGAGCCTGGTTCGAATCGCTGGGGATCCAGTCGCATGCGTGCACATGCGTTGCGCCGTTGGTGGTGCCAAAGTCCTTTGTGTCAAAATCTGTTGCGTTGTTTTTTTTTTATTTTTTTTTTTTTTTTTTTTTTTTTATTTTTGTGTGTCTGGCTCCAAACGTGATCGCGGCAGAGAGCAGCAGCGCAGGGGGCGCGTCATCAACGCCAGAATCTGCGTGATCACAGATGGCAGAGACGGGTGCATAATGGCAAGGTTCGGGGTTGAAATCATCGCTTTTCGTCGGGCTCGAGGAGAACTGGATGGAGTGGTCGTTCGTGATGCGGGCATTCTTTAGCGGTCAGACGGCGCGGGCTCACCTCCTGCTGGGTGCAGCTGAGTAGCGGTGGGGCCCTGACATCGGCGTGGCGGAGACGTCGCGCAGGCTCCGGGCTGAAGGGGCGACAGCCGACGAGGATCTGTTCGTCTCGCTGTTGATGGCTGTCAAGGGGGGCGCTCAGATGCAGATCAGAAGCGTAGAGGGCCAGCACGGAGCGCTGTCCTGACGGGCGTTGGTCAGGCGGTGCGAGCCAGCCACCGCGGTCAGAGCGCAGAGTGCCGTGGCGAGCGTCCTCGATGCGAAGCAGTTCCTTGGCGCGTTGGCGGGGTTCGAGGCGCGGCGCTCGGAGTGGGGGCGCGACGTCAGACGGCGCGAGGCGGCGTCGGGAGAAGTTGGGGAGCAGGACTACGACACCCACCCCGCAATGCTGACGCCAATGTATTTTCGTCTCTCGTGGCGCGAAATTTGCCTCGGGGCCCAAATGTGCCTCTGCCGACTTCGGGGGGTCGCGGGGGGCGTCTTGGACGAGTTGCTGACGCTTCGTGGTGGCCGCCTTCGCGGTGGCCCAGCGAGCCCGCCGACTGCGCGCGGCCATGCAGGTCGCCGCCAGCATCGATGATGCTCGTGCTCGTCTGCGCGGGTGGGGCGGGCCCTCGCGAATCCGAGGTATTTCCAGAGGCGTTTCGTTTTTCCGCGCGGCAGCGGGTGCATGCAGAAAACCACAAAAAAGCATGATGTACACCCGCCCAAAAGAAGTATACACCCACGCAGAAATTTATATTCCGGGTCAACAATATAACACGTGTTTCAATAAAACGACGTATGCACCCACCAAACCTTGTGCGCCGAATACTGGCGTATTTCTAGAGACGAGGGCCCTCTGGCGCTGAATCGCCATGTCAGTGCCTGGGGCGAGAGCCGCGTGGCTGGCTCATGTCAGCAAGCCGCGGACTGCTTGCGCGTGCTCCAGGACGGAAGCTTCAGGTTTGCGCGGCCCCGCGCGCGTGGCTTGTTCGGCCGCGTGCGTCGTGCCAGTCTCGCCGACGATGGAAATCCCGCGTCGGGATATCAATCGGGGCCATGCATGCATGCATGCATGGGCGCTGTAGAGCAGGGTGGGTGTCGATATTGAGCTCCCCAGAAGTGTTCAATGCGGGAGTGAAGAAGCATATCTCCCCGCAGAAGGCGCCGCGCAACATGCGAACGGCGCTGCAGATGCAGAAAGGGCGGGGCTACGACGAACTGGTTGGCGCGACGGCGCAGCACTTGCAATCGCCGGCGGTCTACTGCGATGGCTACCGGCGGACCCAGGCGGCGCCGAGCGGGTCTGGTGCAGGCAGGGCCCGCGGCGGTGCAGCGATGGAGGTGGATGCGCTGGCGAGGCGGCGCGGCGGCAAACGGCGACCATAACGGCAAGGGCAAAGACAGGGGAGAGAAGAAAGAGGCATATGCAAAGGTTGCGGAGGCAAGGGTAAGGGCCACGGCGCGGATCCGATGGCAAGAGCAGCGGCGACGAAGACAACCCCTTGGAGCATGGCGCGCGCACCTGGAGCCAGACTGTGCCGCAGCTGCGGTGGGCGAGGCCACTTCGCGCGGGACTGTCGGCGCCGAGACGGCAATGGCGCGAACGGATAGAGAGGCGACGGCAAGAGCAAGACAGGCGCCGTGGGCGAGGTCGCCGTCGACGGCTGGAGCCATGTCGACGCATCGGGGCCGGGCAGCCCAGCGCGTTCAACGGTCGGTCCATAGGCTTGCCAGATTGGAGCTCAAGGGCCGCGTCAGCCTGGAGTTCGAGCCATCGCACAGCAGGAGATGACCTACGAGAGCGAGTGGGAGCAAGCCCGCGAGAGCAAGTGGGAGAGAGGCTGCACTTTCGCGATCGCGACGGCGGGGCACAAAAATGTACAGCACGGTCTCTCAGGGGGCGTCTGGAACACCGTGGACTCTCGCCGCCACCTCTCGGAGGCTTCAGGAGGCTTTCCGAGGCTGGCCGCCGCCGTCGCCGTCGATGTCGTCGTCTTCCCCCTTCTCGACCTTCTCCGCCTTCGCATCCCTCCTCCGCCTCGCCCTCCCCGCCCTCCTCCCTCCTCTCTCCTCCCCTCTCCCCTCCCCCCATATCGTGCTCTTCCCCCTCCCCTGCTCCTGCTTTCCGCCCCTCCGCCTCCCCTCCGTTCTTCTTCACCGCCTTCCTCTTCGTAAGTGTCCTTTTCTTCTTCTTTCGCCTTCGCCTCCTCCTTCTCCTCCTCCTCCTCCTCCATCTCTAACTCATCCGCCTTCGTCCCCGTTCTACTTCCCCTGCTCCTGCTCCCTTCTCTCTTCCCATCGAATTTCCCATGCAACACTGGAACGTGTGATGTTCGTTTTAGATCACCATACATCCGTGATGAGTGAGCCCTGTACGACTTCACTCTCGCCATGGAGTGCTCTTTTGTTGCCAACCAGACTGAAGCTTGTCAGTGAGTTTTCGCATGTTTTGTTTGTATTCCGTGATGTTTACATCCCAAGAGCGACGTGTGTTAGAGTAGCATATGGCCGCTCGTTGAGCGTGCGTGCTTCTGTTCATCCGATAGTTGCAAGAGCCGCTCATATTCAATCAGTCGCCCAGAGTCCCACTACGCCCGCCAAGTCCCCCCAGTACCTCCCAATGCCTCCTATGATCTCAAAGGGTTTATCAGGACCCCCTATTCTCGCAGGGCCCTCCCAGAGCCTCCCCTGATCATACCAGGGCCTCCCGAGGCCCCCAAGGGCTGAGGGCCCCTCGCAGCCTGCGTGGGTAAAATCTCGGTCGGCCTTTGATGACGACCACGACCACGACGACAGACGACGGTCGACGGACGACGCACGACAGACGAAGGACGACGGCGACGCAGACGGCCGCGATGGGTTACGGGCGGCGGACGTCGCACGTCGAGTGACGGATTGTGGACGAGGCAAGACGGACGTCGGCGACGGACGACAACAACGACGGACGGCGGACGACGGACGGCGGGCGACGGACGGCAGCGGACGGACGGACGGACGGACGGACGGACTTCCTCCTCCTCCTCCTCCTTCTCCGCTTCCTCCTCCTCCTCCTTCTCCTCCTACTCCTCCTTCTCCTCCCCTTCCTCCTCCCCCTCCTCCTCCTCCTCCTCCTCCTCCTCCTCCTCCTCCTCCTCCTCCTCCTCCTCCTCCCCCTCCTCCTCCTCCGAGCACGACGACCGCGACGATCATGACTGTGACCACCACCACGCCGACGTCTGCGAGGTCGTCGTCGCCGTGGTCGCCCCAGTAGGGCCGAGAGCCTCGCTCTCGCTCTCGCGGGCGGTCCGGCCGCCCCGGGCGCCGGCCTCCGCGCCTCCGCGCACGCGCGCCCTCGCCAGGGCGAGGACGAGTACCTGCCGCCCTGGCGCCGGCAGCAGCTGGAAAAGGCGAGGCTCCCGCCCTGGCTCGTTTCGGTTCTTCCGATTCGATTCGGCTTCGAGGGCTTCCGGTTCCCATTTGATTCGACTTCGGATGTCGATTTGGGCTCCGATTTCTCAATGGAGGCCTACTGTCCTGCCGACTCGACTTTTCCCGACTCGGCTGCCGATTTCGCCGATCCGATTCATGTCGATCGTCGGTCCGACTTATCGATTCGATGCTGGGCTCTCCTGCCCCCGCCTTGGTTCGAGGGGGAAGGCGGAACAGACACGAACTTCTTCCTCTAGTCGGTCGACGTGCCAAGCCACGAGGATCCAGGAGAGTCCGCGCGCAGCTCCGGAAGATCATGTGAGTGCCGTTTTCTCTTCTTCGAGCGAAGGTTGGAGCTGGTAAGGCTTCGGGCTGCGCGCAGACAACCCCCCCCCCAGCCCAGGTGGTCCCCGCTGGCCTCGAGAGGCCCCCCTCGAGTATTCTCAGCTGGCCTCAACAGCCCCCCCGAGTTGTCGAGAGCGGTCTCCACATCCGAACCCTGGAGCGCGGAGCGCCTCAATGGCGCCGCTGGAGGCGGCGCCAGGGTGTCGAGACCGAAGCCCGAAGCCTTACCAGCCCCTACCTTCGCTCCAAGCAGGCAAGCTGGCATTAACGTTAACTTTCGGAGCTCCGCGCAGATTTTTCTCGATCCTCGTGGCTCGGCACGGATCTCGAGTAGAGGAAGAGGGTGACCCTGGCCTTGAATTCCGCCAGTACCTCGCAGAACACCTGCGCGTTGCACATACCGGGGTTTCCCTGCAAGCAGGGAGCGTCGTCTGGTCTGAAGAAGAAAAGGTGGCATGATCACAAACATTCGGAGGTCCGCGTGGGTTTTCTTAGAGGGGGGTCAGCGTCGATCCGAGAAATCCGCGCGGACCTCCGACATTTTATACTTATGTAGTAACTATTTTGTTCCTTCAGTCGCTGGGCACACTTTCGCGGGCGATACCTCGGGCGATCCGATGCGGCCTGATGCCTGCGCGGATGTGTTGTGTATCCTGGCGCGGCCGATCCGATTCGATTTCGACTCCGTACCGATGCAGCCCGATGCCATGAACGTTCCGATCTGGCCCCATGCAGCGATTCGGTGCTGACTGCTTCTGCCTCCGCCGTGAAGGAGACGGATTCTGAGGGACACGGGCCCTGGAGTTTTTCCTCCCCTTTTACTAAGGCCCCTGGAGCACTCCACGGGCCCTTTGACCATCCAAGCGCGACTCAGGAAGAGAATCGCAGGCGATTTCGCGCCCCCAGTCCCCGCGTACCCCCTACGATGTCTTCGGTAGGCCTTGGATAGGCCTCGGGTAGGCCTTGGGTAGGCCCTGGGAAAGTCTTTGGTAGGCCTTGGCTAGGTCTTGGATACGCCTCCAGGCCTTGAGTTGGTCGTCGGTAGGCATTGGATAGGCCTTGGGGAGGCCTTTTTTAGGCCCTGGGGACGTATTGGTAAACCTTGCGCAGGCCTTGGGCGGCCCTGGGTAAGCCTTGGGCAGGACCTGGGTAGGCCTTGGGCAGGCCCTGGATAGGCCTTGGCCAGGCCTAGGGTAGACCCTGGGCTGGCCTTGGGTAGGCATGGGGCAGGCCTCGGGTAGGCTCGGGTAGGCCCTGGACCGGCCCAGGAAGGCCCCCCCCCACGCTGCTCCCCAAACGCCCGCGGCCCCAGGCGCTCGCCGAAGGCCCCCCGAACGCCCACCCCGAGCGTCCCCGGAACGTCCCCAGGACGTCTTCCGCACGCCGCGCGCTCCCGCCGCCACGCCGCTCCCGCCGCCGCTGCCGCTCCCGCCGCCGCCGTCGTTGTCGTCGTCGTCGTTGTCGTTGTCGTCGTGGTGATGGTGGTGGTCGTGGCCGCCGCCGCCGCCGCCGTAGTCGTCGTCGTCGTCGTCGTCGTCGTCGTCGTCGTCGTCGTCGTCGTCGTCGTCGTCGTCGTCGTCGTCGTCGTCGTCGTCGTCGTCGTCGTCGTCGTCGTCGTCGTCGTCGTTGTCGTCGACATGGCGGTGGTGGTGGTCGTGGTGGTCGTGGGGGTCGTGGTGGTGGTGGCCATCTCTCCGAGCGTCGCCTGGGCGCCCCCCATCCGCTTTCACAGCGCCCGCCGAGGCGAGGGAACGCAAGCGGCTCCGCCTCGAGGAGATCCCGCCTTCGGCAGGGGACGGGGGGGGCGCCCGAGCAGGCTAAGGGCCAAGAGGGGCGAGTAGGGTGAGGAGAATGAGGAGGATGAGGATGAGGATGAGGATGAGGATGATTATGATGATGCTGATGATGACGATGATGATGATACTACTGATGGTGGTGATGATGATGATGATGATGATGATGATGATGATGATCATGATGATGACGATGATCATGATGCTGATGATGATGGTGGTGGTGATGATGATGATTCTATACGATGATGATGCTGATGATGATGGTGGTGGTTGTAATGATGACGATGACGATGACGAAAACGACGACGACGATGACGACGCTGACGACGACTTCACCGATGATGATGATGATGATGATGATGATGATGATGATGATGCTTATGATGATGGTGATGGTGATGGTGATGGTGGTGACGATGACGATGACGATGACGAACACGACGATGAGGACGATGACGACGACAACGATGATGATGATGATGATGATGATGATGATGATGATGATGATGATGATGGTGGTGGTGGTGGTGGTGGTGGTTGTGGTGGTGATGGTGATGGTGGTGGTGATGGTGACAATGCTGATAATTTGATGATGACGACGATGATGATGACGACGATGACGAAGAGGAGGAGGATGGAGTGGCGATGGTGGCGGTGATGGTGATTGTGATTGTGATGGTGATGATGCTGGTGGTGGCGATGGTGATGGTGATGGTGATGGCGATGGTTATGGTGGTAGTGATGATGACGATGTTGATTCTGTTGATGATGATGACGATGATGATGACGACGATGACGAGGAGGAGAACGGAGTGGCGATGGTGGCGGTGATGGTGATGGTTATGGTGATGGTGATGATGATGATGGCGATTGTGATGGTGATGGTGATGACGATGACGCTGACGATGATGATGAGGAGGATAATGATGCTGCTGATGATGGTGATGGTGATGATGACGACAATGATGATGCCGATGATGATACTGATGATGGGGACGGTGGCGGTGGTGGTGTTGTTGGTGGCGGTGATGGTGGAGAGGATGATGAGGGTAGGGAGGAATGACGAGCATCAGGCTAAGGATTTTTTTGCCGTGGTAGTGATGATGATGATGCTCATGCTGACGATGACGATGACGATGACAATGATGGTGGTGATGATGATGATGCTGATGCTGATGATGATGCTGATGATGCTGCTGCTGCTGCTGATGATGATGGTGGTGGTGGTGATGATGATGATGATGGTGATGATGATGATGATGATGATGATGATGATGATGATGATGATGATGATGATGATGATGATGATGATGATGATGATGATATGATGAGTGGGAACTTGACGATGAAGATGATGATTCTATAGGCTTACGCCACATCCGCCGACCCCTATATAGACTACTGCGCCTCCAGGACTGCGTTTCACGAGGCTTGTCCGAATCATGACACGACGCGTTGTTGTTCTCGTACCTCTTGGTGCTCTTTTGTGGTCTTCTGGTGGCATCTTGGCCTGTCTGCAGGCCATATCCGGCCGCCTCGATGCATCTTGGGCCAAGTTTTGGGTCCTCTTGGGGGCTTCCTGGGGGCTTCTTGGAGGCCTTTGAGGTTCTCTTGGGGGTCCCTCAGGGCCTCTTGGGCTGTTCCTAGGGCAGGTTGGGGGCGTCTTGGGGCCGAAGGCTCGAAAAGGTGCCCTCTGGGCTCCGTCTTGGAGCCGTCTGGGGGCCCTCTTGGGCTGTCTCGGGGGCTTCGGGGGCTGTTGTTGGACCCTCGTCGACCCTTCTTGGGGGCCCCTTTGGCCGTCTGGGGGCGATGTTGAATGTTTCTTTGCCCGTCTGGGACGTCGTCCGAATAGGCGAGCATGCGAAACATGCTTGTTTTTCGAAGGGAATGGGGCGATTTTTGTTTCTTGGGACCCTCTTGGGGCACATCTTGGGGGCCTTTTGGGGCGTCTTGGCAGCTTCGGAGGCCGCCTGGAGGCCATCGTGGGCGTCCAGGGCGATATTTCGGCGAACCGTGGCCCCCTGGGCCCGTCTGGGGAGCGTTTTGATGCCTTCTTGGCCAGTTCTGGGGCCCCGCTCCCCCGTGGCGCGTTCGGTCCGGGGTCGGGCTGGGCGAGGGGGGGGGGTCGAATTGCTGGTTTGGGGTCCCTGGGGGGGGGATTATGGGGGGTGATAATCTCACACGCCTAGAGACCCACAAGGGGTCGGCGGATTATGAAGATGATGCTGCTGCTGATGATGAAGATGATGATGCTGCTGATGATGATGGTGATGATGACGATGATGACGGCGACGATGATGCCGATGCCGATGCCGACGACGCCGAAGATGACGACGATGATGATGCTGATGATGCTGATGATGCTGATGATGGTGATGCTGATGCTGATGATGATGATACTGCTGCTGCTGCTGCTGCTGATGATGATGATGATGATGATGATGATGATGATGAGGATGACGATGTCGAGAATGATCATTTCGACGAGGTTGATGACGGTGATGTACTGCAGGCGACGCCCTCTTGCATCCGCCGCATCTCCAAAGAGGGGCACTGGCCTGCAGCCATAATGCGAATCAGCATTTCTCCACTTCTTTTTTCCTGTGTCCACAGAAGTGGCATGTGACATGTCTTTCCTAACCATCTTGCGGTGTTGGGTCATCGTTTTGAAGAACCGGTCCCCGCGTCGCCTCCTCCCGTGCCCCCCCCAGTGGGGGTGGCCAGATGCGTCCGCCACACGCAGTACAGCGTTTCGTGGCCCCATAGGGAGCTCCACTCAATGCCCCAGTGGGGGTGGCCACATGCGTCCGCCACACCCAGTGCAGCGTTTCGTGGCGCCATAGGGAGCTCCACCTGAGGCCCCAGTGGGGGTGGCCACAAGCGTCCGCCACACCCAGTACAGCGTTTCGTGGCCCCATAGGGAGCTCAACGTAAGGCCCCAGTGGGGGTGGCCACACGCGTCCGCCACACCCAGTGCAGCGTTTCGTGGCCCCATAGGAAGCTCCACCGAAGGCCCCAGTAGGAGTGGCCACATGCGTCCGCCACACCCAGTACAGCGTTTCGTGGCCCCATAGGGAGCTCCACGTGAGGCCCCAGTGGGGGTGGCCACATGCGTCCGCCACACCCAGTACAGCGTTTCGTGGCCCCACAGAGGGAGCTCCACCCAATGCCACAGTGGGGGTGGCCGCATGCTTCCGCCACACCCAGTACAGCGTTTCGTGGCCCCACAGAGGGAGCTCCACCCAATGCCACAGTGGGGGTGGCCGCATGCTTCCGCCACACCCAGTACGGCGTTTCGTGGCCCCCATAGGGAGCTCCACCTAAGGCCCCAGTGGGGGTGGCCACAAGCGTCCGCCACACCCAGTACAGCGTTTCGTGGCCCCATAGGGAGCTCCATCGACGCCCCCCCAGTGGGACCGTCCGCACGCGTCCCACACACACCCAGTTTGGCATTTTCACCCACCCAGTACAGCGTTTCGTGGCCCCACAGAGGGAGCTCCACCGACGGCCCCAGTGCTACCGCCCGCATGCGTTCCCCCCCCCACCCAGTGCAGCGCTTCGTGGCCCCATAGGGAGCTTCACCGAAGAAGATATTCACACTTGCGGTGCCCACAACTGCATATGGTTGGGTCCTTCGCCAGGATAAGTTTTCCGATCGCGGCTGAGATGCTGCGGCCAGTAGGCCAGAGTCATGGCATTGAAGAACGGTGGACTTGGAGGAGGAGGATGATGAGGAGGAGGAGCAGGATGAGGACGAGGAAGAGGAGAGGGAGGAGAAGCAGCAGTAGCTGAAGGATGGGGGAGTGGAGATGGATATGTGGATTGCGGGAGCTGGGCATTAACAATGACGATGACGATGACGATGACGATGCCGACGACGACGACCTCGATGCTGATGATGCTTTTGCTGATGATGGCGATGGTGATGGTGATGGTGATGGTGATGGTGATGATGCTGCTGCTGATGATGATGCTGATGATGATGATGAGGAGGAGGATGATGATGATGCTGATATGATGATGATGATGATGATGATGATGATGATGATGATGATGATTATGATGATGATGATGATGATGATGATGATGATGATGATTATGATGATGATGATGATGATGATGATGATGATGATGATTATGATGATGATGATGGTGATGGTGATGGTGATGGTGAGTGTGATGATGCTGATGCTGATGCTGATGAGGACGACGATGATGATGATGCTGATGATGAAGATGACGTCAATGACGATGACGATGACGATGACGATGGCGATGATGGTGATGGTGATGATGATGCTGATGATGAAATGATGCAAATGCTCATGATGATGGCGGTGACGATGATGGTGACATTGATGGCGATAATGACGATGGTAATGATGATGACGATGCTGCTGATGATGATGATGATGATGATGAGTATGGGTATGATGATGATGCTGATGATGATGATGCTGATGATGATGATGATGATGATGATGATGATGATGATGATGATGATGATGATGATGATGATGATGATGATGATGATGATGATGATGATGATGATGATGATGATGATGATGATGTGACGATGATGGTGGTGGTGGTGGTGGTGGTGGTGGTGGTGATGATGATGATGATGATGGGTGTGGTGGTGGTGGTGGTGATGATGATGATGATGATGATGATGACGGTGATGATGAGGAGGATGACGATGAGGAGGAGCAGGAGAACGATGAACAGGAAGAGGAGGACGAGGAGGAAGCCGATGAGGAGGGCGATCAAGAGGAGTTGGAAGAGCAGGAGCAGGAGGAGGAGAAGGAGGAGGAGAGGAGGGAGAGGAGGAGGGGAATGAAGAAGAGATGCGAAGAGGGATGAGGATGAGGATGAGGATGAGGATGAGGATGAGGATGATGATTATGATGATGATGATGCTGGTGATGATGTTGCTGATGATGATGACGCTGATGATGATGATGATGATGAACCGGA